TTAGCGTATTTATTATTTCCCTTCGAATCCAACGCTTTGATAAAACCAAAGAAAATATATTTTACACACAAATAAAGAAAACAATATCCGTAACATTGTAGTTGTATTAATGTTTCAACAGCTTTTGGTGAGTAAACATCACAGGTTGCGTGACTCAACATTTGGCTGAGAGGAAGTTTGGGTCTGGTCACCAACAAAACTAAAAAAAAAAAAAAAAAAAACCATGGGTAAACAATGAACCGCGCTCGGCCCATGGCTGCATGGTTAATTATTATATTGTAGGTCATCGTAGGCTAATGCACACGGACCAGTAAACAAAGTGGCAATTAACTGAGTGTACAATCCATGTACTCTTGGAAACTGAAAACAAAGGAGACAATTCCCTCTGCTATGTTATTTACCATACCCAATGAGACAGAAATTTCCATCTCTTTCTGCTCAGTGAGAGACAAGGGGGAACCTCTGCCCATAACCAGTTGATTTCCTATTGTGTATGCGTGAATTGTGTCAATCAGCATATGCTATATCATACAAAATGTTCATGTGTGATCAAAATTTTCAGCTACATGTATAAGCTTTGCACGTACATTTTGGCTTCAAATGTGGCAGATTAATTGAATTTTGACTTTTCTACTGTACAAACATACAAGTCTCATGCAGAAACTACAGAAATTGTATAAGGTGACAAAGAAACAGAGGAACTAAATTAAAATCAACTTTATTTAAGACTATGCTATCTAGTGTGTGCTTTGCAGATTACAAACTGCAGATAATTAAACTGTTATGGAATTTAAAATTTAATAGCCTGCCTAACAACACTTTTGTCAAACTCTTTTGACATTAAAAGTGAATTAATGTACAGCAACAGCTGCTGAACCTGTACAAATAGCAGGTGATCAAAAAAGTACTTAGCAGCAGTAATTCATCAAGCTGAAATTTTCAATTCTGAGTCCTTACTATGCAACAAACCCATATCAGTGCAGCTCCAATTACAATTTTACAACTAACCACAGGGAAGTGGATATTGTGGGTAGTCTCATACAAGGACAGCATTTGGTATCCTATCTGCCATGTGTAACTTTTAGATTGGTTAAAACTTGTCAAGCATGTTAATTTATTTGTCCATGTTTGTGAATGGTATCTGGTCAAATGAATGTGTGGTTATGATCAGAGTTTCACTCTTGTCTCTCACCAAGCTGAAAGAAAGGTAAATCTCTCTCTGGCTAGGTATATTTGCTAAAGACCAAGGATAAAATTCCAGCAAGAAATGTAAAAGTTTTAAATTGAGGAAGTGGATCTGGCTGCACAGTGCAGTATACATGGGTATAGGGTACATCGAACCCTCAGGAGGGGTCAGGTAGCAGCTCCCATAAGGTCTCACATGAATGTCTTGATACCCGTTAAGAGGGCAAAAGAACATACAACAGAAACAATGCCCCTAGCCCCAAACCAATAACAGCTGCTAACAAGCAAAAGAACTACAAGCTTACAAGAGCTGCTACACTCCTGCTCAGGAGTCATGTATAGTTCTTGCTGCATTTAATGAAAGAGTGACATGTCCAATGCCATTCAACTTGTCCCTTGACTCGTTTCAACATAAAAGAGATTGTGATACCCTGGACAGTCGAGATACCCGGTCACTTTACAAATAACAAAATGTTGGGTTATAGAAAGTGTATTCTATATAGCTCATTCTCAAAGCTTCAGAAGTTACGTCCTCTACCTTCTAGCTGCTTAAAGAACGACTTCATGATACCAAAACTAAGCCTTCATAGCTGGATCCAAAGCGAAAACTATTGAAATCCCAAAGGATTTGGTTTCGCGATCGTATCTAAGCGCTTACCTTTCTTTACTGTTTTATACAATCGTTTTGTAAGTTTTCTCCCAGCAAGCGGTTTGGCAATTGCACAAACTCTCTTAACGAGTTCATCGTAGTCTAGAGTAGGTTCTTCGTTCTTCGTATCGTCCTTATTTTCGCCTCCTTCGCCATTTTCAGTGTCTCTCTTTTTGTCTTTCGACCTCGCCATGTTGTTTTCACTGCACGTGGGAACGGACAAAGGTCTGGGGCGAGTTACCTACACTTTCCAAGTAACCCGCTGACCCATTATTCAAGTGCTCACGCGGACCTACACACGTGCTTCTATGCGTCGTTCGCTTGATTGTGTAGCTGCATGTTTTTAAATTCTATACACGAACATTTACTTTTGCATTTTATTAGGATTTCAGAGCTATAAAATTTAAACTCCATTTTTTATTTTAGCCAAAGTATTTAATGAAAATGTTTTATTTTTTGTAGAACTGGAGAAATGGGACTCGGATCGGCCGAATGAACAACTACTGCGACTGTCAGAATGATTCGTCGTGTTTCCTGGACGACATAAACTTATATACGGGTAAAGTTGAACTTTTGTGTGACCTTGCTATCCCTGTTCTTCTTTAGTCCAAACCGTTGTCGAATTTTTGAAATCAAGAGTGATGCGGTAGGGTTTGCTTTAGGGAGGTCGCGCAACGGACCCTGTGGTTCACTGGGTTGACTGTGCTCATTTTGAGTGTTCGGTGCCTAAATTCTCAGACGGTCAAATCTCACTCGTTCTGAGAATGGGGTTATTTCGAATGGGGTGAACTGCAGTGTTTAAACTAGACCTGTCTGAATGGAATAGTTTGTTATCAGATCAAGTTTGAGGTATAGGTACGCTGCATCTCTTGCTAATATGAGTTCAGGGAAGCCATCTGGAGCTGCGTCATTTCAATTCAATTTACAGACAGTTTGCAATGTAAAGAAAACTTAAAATGCAACCGTACAGTTTGTAACAAATTTAATTACAGTTCTCTTCCCCCAGACAAAAAGGTATTTTAGTGAAATCTTTGCAGAAATGCCAACCTAAAAGAGTTGGAATGCATGAGATCACGAATTTTAAATACTCTTCTTTGGCCATTGTAGCTTAACAAGAAATAACACACAAACTGCGGTGATAAACACGACAATAAAATGCATTGTTGGAAAACAAAAATTAAAAAAATATATTTTTTAACGCACAAACTGTGCTGACAAACATGATAAACATGCGAAATGTCCAGTAAAAATATATAGTTTTTGTGTTTTGTATTATGAATTTTGTTTGGTGGGGTGGTGGAGGGGAAACTTTTGGTCAAAAGTCAATCAAACCTGTTTATTTTTTTGTATATATTTCATTATAAAAAGCCCAAAAAAACAAACTTTTTAACAAAAATCTAATTTAATCTATGCAAAATCCAGGAAGAGTTATGTTAGATAAGATATAATTTGGTGAACTGCTTGTTTGTCACTTCATGTGATGGGTCATAGTATGAATTATGTGTCCACAAGCTTGCTGTAATTGTATTCATGATGTAACAGAACTGCACTGTGAGGTTCCAGGAAAACCTGTGTCCAGGATAAGGGAGGTCATCAGAAAAAGGGGTTTCAAATCCAAACTTTCTGAGGGAAGGAATGACACTAAGCTAGAATTTCCAGATTGCTGAGGGATGCAGATGGGGTAAGGATAATTTCAAGAAAAAAAACCCACTTGCATTTAATATACATTTTTGTGATGGAAATGGAAACCCTCTGAACCAACGGGTGGCACATCAAAATTATTTCTTCCAAAGTTGAAATCAGAAAGCATCCTGGACCCAGTGGTTATGGGTAATTAAAGGGATGTGATCCCACCCAGTCTGAATCAGGTTGAATTATGATTGTCGCATCCATAAGGAGGGGGAACTCTGTAGGTCAGTTCTCATCAGTTCTAAAAATTTGCTGACTGAAGTTACTGGAAAGCTTAGCCAGCTTCAAGGATGATAATTGCGTCAAACTGGGGCTCAAGTAGTTTAGAGAAGTTAACAGCTAGAAGGGGCAGAAGTAAGGTATGGCATTCCATCTCTACCAAAATTCATGTTTTAATATTTCAAAGTTCTTGCTTTGTATTTCACTCTCCAGTCGCAGCATTCAATATTGTTCTTTATGCAACATTTCAGTATCAATTAAGTTTGCAAACTGTGTACAGTGGTATCAAAAATTTTTCTTTTGCATCAGTTGCCACCCAAGTTTTGATATTCAACATTGCATGACGGAGTTCAAAAATCAAAGTAATAACTTTGAAATCAAAACATGAATTTTGTCGGGATTGGAATGCCGTGGTAAGGGTAGTGAATGGTACATGTAATTTCAAGACTTTGTGAGACTGGAAGACTAGTATTTTTTTGCAAGCACAAGATTTTTTGAACCTTGCGAAAGAAGTTGTGAAAAAATATGAGATCATGAGGCTTGTGCTATTTAGCTAAAACTTATTTGAGTTGCATAAGTTTGGAAGGACTCAATCCACTTTGCACGACACACCTGGGGCTGATACAGGATTTTAGAGACAGGGTCCAGAAATTTTTGAAATTTGAGGTCCTCAGAAATGGTATATCCACCAATCTGAGGCAAAGTCAGTCAATGTCGCATTTTCTATAATTTAGGGGGTAGCATCACCAATTTCCTCAATATATATCAAAAACTCATTTGCAAATGCCCATCAACATTTCAAAGCAAGTGAAAAATATTTTACCTCCCATTATTGTGCTTGATGGGGGTACCCTCCAGTTCTATTTTCAAACCTGAGCCCAGTTGTCTGAAAGATGATTAAAGCTAAACTGTTCCCATTAGAAAGAGTAACACGTTTCAGAACAAAAAAGGAAATTGATAATTATTTCTGCTTCAGATTAAAACAGCTACAAAACAGTGGCCTTTGGGTTGCACGTAATGCCCCTTTAGTAATTGATCTGCTCGCTACAGACAAATCATGATATTTTGTTCAACCTCATCCAATAATTCTCAACTGTTTTCAATACCATTTTAAAGGACAGTACAAGGGTGTTTGGGCATGATTGTTATGCAAGGAACAAAATTTGCAAAATGGACAACTCTCTATGTCAATCCAAAAATAACTCTTTATTATTGAGCCCATTATTTGACTGGTACATAACTTCCAACAAGCGAATTCATCATGTGAATCACAGAGCAGTAAATTAATCTCCCTGCGCCACGTTGTATTCACTCGTTAAAAGGTATTTTAAACATTTTCCAGTTAATTTTACAAACTAGGTTTCATCTAAAAAATCACTCTTGAATGAGTGAAGTAAAAGTCCTCCGTAACTGCTTTATTAAGTGTTAACAATGCGCCGGTCAGTGTGATGTATAGTATAGATGTTATATTTGGTTAAGTATGTCGCGTTGAAAGGAGCAAGATAAGTTTTTTACTGTGTCTTCTTCTCCTCTTTAGGGGCATCAGCGGTTTTGTCTTCCGCCTTCTTTACTTCAGGCTTCTTGGCGGCCTTGTCATCTTCTTCATCGTCATCATCATCGTCATCGTCGTCATCATCGTCGTCATCATCATCTGCTTTCTTGGTGGCATCATCCTTCTTCTCTTCTTCCTTGTCTTCCTCTTTCTTCACTTCTTTCTTCTCGTCTTCCTTCTTGCCTCCCTCGCTGCTGTCCTCGCTATCATCCTCATCATCGCCATCGTCTTCATCATCCTCATCGTCTTCGTCATCCTCATCGTCACCATCATCTTCATCGTCTTCATCATCTTCGTCATCTAGATCGTCACTCAACTCATCTTCATCGTCATCCTTATCCTTGTCTTCCTTCTTGTCCTCCTCGTCTTCTTTGTCGGCTTCTTTGTCTTCCTCCTTGTCGCTGTCTTTTTCCTCAGTTTCTTTGTCGTTGACTTTCTCGTCCTCCTTCTTCTCGGGGGCATCGGGGTTGTCCTCCTTGGTTTCATCGTTTTCTTTGGGGATTTTGTCCCTCTTCTCTTCATCGGTATCATCCATATCGTCTCCCTCGCTGCTGTCTTCACCATCATCTTCATCATCCTCGTCATCTTCATCGTCTTCATCGTCAGCATCGTCCGTAACGTCGTCATCGAAGTCGCCAGTGTCTTTTTCGTCTTCCTTCTTTTCCTCTGCGAGATGAAAAAAAAAAAAAACCGTAAGTAGCATTTACTTACTGACATATATTTTATTTGTATTAGCGGGGGAATCCTTTATAGGGAAATATTGGGCTAATTTAATTTTTTGGGAAGTTTTGATGGCTTGCGAGCCTAACATTCCGCCGTGGGAACTGAACAAGTTGAACTGATCCCGTATTGGCGCGTTTGCGGGTCTGTTAAGAAATCCGTCCTTCTCAAACCTGCGCGAAAATATGAAGAACATTCAAGAAACTTCGAACCGCTTTCTTGGAAATTTAAGTTAGTTAGAATGCTTACAACTTATTTGCGACATCGACATTACCGCTACAGTACAGATCAGAGGTAAACGACTACAGCACACACAAAACATACGTGAACTGAGCCAGACAGACGGAAGGCTCATGTACTTGACAACTCTATTAATTAAATAAAAGTCCCACATTGCAAAGAATAACGACTCAGCAACCTCCGAAAATAATTGACCAACGTACTTATTATTGACCGGTGGTACGTACATTCCGTAGCTTGAGATTTTAAAACGTAAACTTAGTTGAAAAAAAGAAAATCGAGTCTTTCCTATAACGTTTGCTGGCAATACTATCGTTTTTGTGCCTTTTGAAAGGTGATAGCCGGCTTGAGATCGTTCTCATGTAAAGGAATGAGGACAGTTACTAGGCATGCGTGGATGACCTGAGCCTAGAATGGATTTGCGCATGCACAAAAAAAATAATTGTATAGGTTGACGTAGGCTCGACGACGCCGAGGATGACGCCTAGTGAAAAATGAATTTATATTTTACAAGCGAAGTTCGCGATTGTCTAGATCTGTTCGGTACGCCAATGGCTCTAAAAACGTGCTTAAGCTAAATATGCAACGACGGCGTTCAATTCCAAATGGAAATACGAAAAATTAGCCGTCGTCGTCCACGTTCCGTAGACGACGCACAACTTGGACATTTCAGGTTGTTGTTTTGCAGAGGACGGCAAAGAAATGTACAAATGAAGATTTATAACGCACATGCCCAGCCACTGTACTGCTCATTAAATCTTTTGTTCAGTGACGTTCCGTTGCCGTTGCCGTCGTGGTTTTGTAAACTCCCTAGTGACCAAATGACCTTTTTTTTAGCCGTCAACATAAAAACGACAAACTTACAGTTTCAAATGCAAAATCAACCGTAAATCTCGTTTTATCGGAAAACAAGAACACCCCAGTCATTGCTTCGTTTCCGAAACGCATATCGAAAAAATACAGGCAGAGTTGAATTGGAAACGTATACGTGAGGGTGACGTTAATGTTATTGTTTCCACCCGCAGTTTGTTATCACTTTTTGACAACAGACCGCGTTGGCTGGTAACCCTGTTAAATTAGTAAAATGCTTGTAAACTTTATGGCAGGTTAATCTTCTTAATCATTAGAGCGTTAGCTGAGCACCTGTTCCCATCTCGTAAATTGTAGTGACATTAAACGCCAAGTTTTGAAAATGAACTGATACTATATGTGAAACAACTAGCAGGTAATTTTTTTAAGTGGGAACGAATGCCTCCCTTATCAATTACTTGACTTTAGGAGTTAAACGCGAAAATCCGAAAAAAATGAGAGAATTGATAACAGTCAGCTTCTTTATTAGATTAGTCGTGATTTTCAAAAACAAGATGAGGTTATGTAATTCTGTTAAATTGAAACTGACGTTAAGACGTTAAGATTTCTAAAATGTTTTTTGTTTCGGTAATTGAGGTATTTCTGTTACGATCTGTTCCTTCAATTAGAGCCGGTGTAACACCAATGTGGCGCCATGAAATTCAAAACAACATTGTATTTAAAGGGAAAAATCTGTTACTTAACTTGCTTGTTTTATTCAAGTCTCTTGATTTGATTATTTTTGTGAAAACAAACAAGCACTATTTGCCATGGATTGCGGTTTTGCTAGTACATGTTTCAAAACAGTGTTAATTTTGTGTCGTCAATATTGAAAGATAAATCTCCTGATATCATTTTAAATAAAATATTCTTTCAAGAGAAGTAATTTATAAATATTTCATGTTTCTCGTTATTCAGTTTCTAGAAAAGTTCCTTTGTTTCGTTGAAGCGTTTCTGTGTTCTACGACTTCAGAGAATCAGAAAGGATAAAATTTCACTTTTGTATGAACGTTTGCTTCTTATTAAAAGTACGCAGTTGCCCATAGCTGGCACTTAATATGCTACCGTTTAAAAAACCTTGGTTCTTGCGATTACTTCAATCTTGGGTGAAAGATATAGGGGTGGGGCTTAGCACGTTTTCTGGGTCTGCAGTTAAATGTTGTTTATCATATCTTTGAAAGAATGAAAAGCCAGACTCGCAATTTACGATTTAAACTCCATCTTTAGTGAAACGTTTAGGCTTATCGTCTCTTTGCTTGAAAAAGGAAAGCGAGGTAATTCAGATTAAAAGAAAAAACCAACTTTGTTTTACCTGGGGCTGGGGCTCCTTGTGTCAAGGCGATGCCAAGAATCAGGCACAAAAGAAAGAGGTATTTCATTGTTGTTTGGTGGTAAGTCTTCGGACTAGTGGATCTAAAAAGAAGAAGGTAGTAAACAACATTGACTAACAAAGTCTAGACAGAAATTCTACAACGTTAGTGAAAACCTCTACTTAGGACTTTAACCTAATTCAATTTTATTGCTATCCTTGACCTATGGAATATGTTTCTTCTTATGTTTTTACACTGTATCCACGATGTGACAAAGAGGAGATACTACAACATTCTATTATGACGTGGCTACATAATGAAAATGTTAAAGAAATTTTGACCTTCAAAGTACCGAATTAACTCCATGATATACTGATTTCGTTAACTTTTTGTTGACGTGAAAACGTGTTGGGTTCTACCTGGTTAGTTATCAAATTCAGCACAAGTCTTCCCATTCTGTAGAAATTGAAAATTCTTAATTGAAGAAAGTAACTATCCATAACTATAGTCTTGTCTTCTCTGAATAGCTTCGAGGGAATTTCTATCCTTGAATATATTTGATTGATTCTTCCTCGAACATGCGTGTGTGTCGTGATTATAAATCTAATCGAAAACGATCAAAGTGGTAAGTTGCTATAAATGGGATTGCTTACAACCGAAAATAGTTCTATGAAGGGCCATTCTCCGTTATAAATCTTATTCAAGTGACCTAAACAGGATTACAATGATTCACACCTACCTAATTTCTCAAGTGTTGCTGGCTACCTCTCTGGTCGAGAACTCTTGTGAAGTGGATCAAAGATGATCTAACCGATTTTAGTGGTGCGAATTGATTAACTATTAACAACGAACAGTGATGGTGATTACGTTTCGCGTTAGCTAGTTTAAAGCAGGTTATTTACAATTCACATCCATAACACGGCATTCACGTTTGTGGCGTGATATCGCACGCTAGTCCGTGACTGGTTAAAGAAAACAGTTTGTTTAAATTATTAACCAATCAAATGAGCCCAGAGGTAAACATCGACTAATGAAACCGTTAGATAGATTTGTTTTCGTACCACGTTAGGTGTTTTAGTTTACTTCATAGCCTCACCAGCACTGTTTTACATACTCGAAAGCTGGTTGTCTGGGTAGTGTGATCCAATCAGTGGGCCAGTGCCCGCTTTGGCTTCCAAAACAATTGTTTCCAACCATTTTGGGAACTACACGTTGTGATTAACCCTGCAGGTGTTCTGTGATCAGTTAACATTTTTGTTATCAAATTGAATGCAATTTTTTACTTTCATAGACCATAGACCTAAACATACGAAGCCGTATGCGTTTTTCTTTAGTATATTCCGGCGACTAACAAACGACAAATGCAACCGATTGGTTAACAGGAAAAAAAGTCACATAGACTCTCTTAGTTGTACCAGTCCGTTTGCTAGTTTGCTTTTATAATTCGTCGCGTTAGCCAGTTTCAATCAATCGAATCGACAACGTGTTAACTTGATATACTTTGATAGCACAGGAAGCTCTCTGTATCAGTCAACTGATATAACGTAATCTTTTAAACCTCAGGCTTTTAAAACGAATTTAAGGGTAATATGTTTAATGTCACTGAGAGTCGAAACTTTGTGTCCGCGGATATTCACATCTTCTGGCTCTGTCACTGGAGCATCCGCCTTCATTGAAGAAGTTAGTTTATATGCTGGTTTTATTACTGCGATATTTGCATTCGAAAACTTGATAACAGACAGCACTCAAGTTAACGTGCAGTGGTAGTCGACAATGAACCTCCTCAGTACTCCCTGAAGGTGCGCTACCCTCGGTCAATGATGAGGGCCTCCCAAGGGGAATAGCATGTTCCCCTGTTCCCTTGAAAATTTCACCTTTTTCCCCCTGTTTCCTATTAACAAATTACATTGTTCCTTAATTTGTTTTGTCAAACTTCTCTTTAACAATAGAGAGATCGTTTTTTCCTTCAAATGAATCTCCAAAATATGCCTTGTTCCATTGAAATACGTGATCAAGTTCTCTTGATGTGAAGTTTTATATGAAATAATTCATATTAGAACTGCGGTTGTAGATGAAAGTGAAGAATGATCATCGCAGTAAATTTTTCAATTTAAGCCACTGGAAAGAAGAAGCCTGAAAAAATAATGATTCTTCTAAATAATGATTCATTCTTCACATTCATCTACAACCGCAGTTCTAATATGAATTGTTTCATATAAAACTTCACATCATTTCACTCCTCACGGGAAGATATGAACTCAATTAGTTGACCTCGCTCCCAATGTGTGGCTTCATCGCTCAGTTGGTAGAGCATCGCACCGGTATTCGCGGAGGTCACGGGTTCGAATCCCGTTGAAGCCCTGACTTTTTTCAGGCTTCTTCCTTCCAATCGCTTAAATTGGAAAATTTACTGCGATGATCATTCTTCACTTTCATCATGTTCTCTTATTGCCCAAAACCCCTGTGAGGCCTGAGTGATCGCATCAGATACGCTTACTAAGTGGAGTAGCGGAGCCGCCCTCAGGCTTTTCCTTTAGCTTAGTCCCCACTCCTTTAACTAGTGATTTTTGACTTTCCCTGTGTTCTTGCCCTCTAATTAAACCGATGAACGAGTCATTGCTCTCCATGACAGATGCAATTAGTTTGACTGCAGGCTGCAGCAGTAGTTATGAACAGCAATATGCGCAGTTGGTGCCAAGCAATCGCGGATGCAAAAATGCATGACCGAATAATTTTACTATACGATAAAAGTCATGGGATTTATGTACGTTATGTTCGTGCGTTAATTTGTTAGCAGTGAAATATGCACATTTTGAAGCAAATCCGACATTAGATATAACAGACAGTGTAGAAGACATTACGTTTTGATTCAAGTTTTTCACTTATTGTTTTTTGCATGTCTCTGACTGTTCTCTCCAACTCGTTCCCAGTCAAAACATTCTGCAGTAAATATGCCTGTGCTCTCAACAAGCATATGAATTGCGTTTCTTTTGCCATTTTAAAGGCCGTTGCAAATGAAAACAACGTGACAACGAGAAGCAAACCTTTAAGGTTATGTTACACGAGCCTAACTTTAACGCTGGTTTTTAATCCATGTTACACGAGACAACGTTTGACGCAACTTTGCTGCAGCAACGGTCAGCGACGGTATACGGTATGTTACACGAGACGATTTTTAACTCAACTTGCAAAATTCTTTTGCAGGTTTTTGAATCGCGTTCAAAAACTTGCAACATGTTGCCCCAACGAGATGTTGCGTTAAAAATCGACTCTAAAAATCGGGTCGTGTAACATTACTTTAAAAGTATTGTCTAAATGTTGGTGGCCCGATGAAAGCCATCCGAACGATTTCTCAAAGTCCCGTTAGCGTTCTTTCTTAACTATCAAACATAAGATATTTAGTGCCTACCAGATGACACAAACGTACTTTTCGAAAAGGCCGATTGGCCAAGGAGAGCAAAGTAGTAAAAAACCATTTTTTTTAACTGTTTTCTACCGCTTTTGTGGTATAGCTTCGCATTAGACTAATTCTATGGTCTATTTCATCGTATTTTAGTTTAGTTCAGTATATTATTTATTTACTTTATAGCTCCATACGATTAGGATCTTTGCTATCTTTGCTGAGTTATTATTATAAACATTCTGAATAAACGACTTGCATCAAAATTAAAATCTTTGATCTTTCCTCTCTGCGGTACATCAATGAATGAGTTGCCTGTAATCGGATACCCGTGTTTGCGCAAACAACTCTGGGATCGCCAGGGGGCAAACATTGCAAGTCGCTGGAAGGAAATGTATGGCAAAAAGTTCTTTCGACGCCCAAAAACATGGTTCTGGGGAGAGATCAACGCTTTTTCGCCGTTTTTTTTATCGCGAATGGATTTTGGCAATGTTGATACATGGAAAATGTAAGTTTTTGTTTGAATAACCGTGAAATAAGTGATGAAATTTATCGATAAACTCCCTTTGCTTGCGTGAGGTTTATTGTGAAATACATTGAAGAGAATATTGAAAATTTCAATACACGCCTGATCTCGAGAGGCTACCCGGAGCAAATGGTAGAAAAGACCCTCCGAGAAGTTAAATATAAAGACAGAAAAGAAACTCTGAAACAGAAATCGAAAATTGCAGAAGGAACTACTACCCTTTGTGTCGGGCAATTTCACTCAACCGTCAATACCAAACTTTGGAAAGCATAATCACGCACAAATGGAACTTTTAAATACAAATACTCAGAGATAATTTTCTTATTTGCATGATCAAGAACAAATCAGCGGGCGATAATGAATTTTTGAACATATGATCATAAAATGCTGGAGTTTGTGTTTCAGACACGGAACTTAATTTTTTTGTCTTCTAAACTTATTTAGTGACCATAGTTTTGATTGAAATCTAACGTAAAGATGCGCTTTGTTTTTATGGCCCCCTAAATGTGAACTGATTTAAATATTTCATCCTTAGTTCGTAAAGTTTTTTCTTAGGTCTTGCATACTTTTGAAGCATTTGTTATGTAGAAACAGTCTGTTCGTAGATGCTGCAGACTAGCGCATGCGCTAGGATTGTATGAAAGATTGCCGACAAGCAGTGAGCACGTGCGAGCCTACCACTGGAGTACAATATCGTGATTAAACAACCTCTTCTTACGATGCTTAATCCTATCAAGATTCTGAATACAAAATCTCACCTCCCTGACTTTTCCAACCTCTTTATTTTGTCAGCGCGAAACTGAGAACACGGGCTAGAAGAACTGCGAGTGAATAGAGTAAACAGAGCTAGGGCACGTGTCAGAGAGTTTTTTTTCCTTATGCTTGTAAGGAGTTATGTAACGAGTGAGCGCCATGTACCTGACCATGAACATGAAGAAGCACCCTACAGGAAGAACTTTAATCTCTCCTGTTATCACCAAAGCTTGGACTTGATATAACCAGATCAATTAACACCTAGTTGTAGAAAAGTACACTTATTAATGTACATTCAGTGCAGGCGAATTGTTATATTAGGATTCGTTTCGTTACGCCGCCCAACCCCCCAATAAACTTGTATTAAGTAAGTAACAGAATAACATTATTTCGTGTATATATTTATTTATCATTTGTTATGTACATAAACTAATTGACTATTTGATTACGAAGGAAAAAAAAGAAATAAACAAATGGCGAGGAAATCCAATAAAAACATTCTGTAGGTGTACCAAGAAATCCCTTTCATTATTCAAATTCGAGAAGTTCATGAAAATATATGGGATCTCCTGTTATCTGGCGAAAACCGACTCTTTTTTGACAAATTGAGAACGTGGATTAAGAGGTGCTATTAGGGGTTTATGCTAGCTCTTTTGTCGTAGCTTTTTTCTCTTAGATAGTGAACTTAGGTGTTCAAAACACTGAAAACATTCTCTCACGTACGTGAATTGGGTGACAACGTTAGTGACTAATAAATGAGATCAGTTTTTGGCGTTAAGCCTTGTTCCACCTTGTAGACAAGTGAGAATTTTTGGGGGGAGATTTTTACGTCGTTGTACTATTAATCCTAAGGAGACTTACTCACTGTAATCATTTCTATTTTTATTTAATTTTTGTTTCATTTCCATCAAAATGTAATTTTATATATTTTTTGTTAATACAAAAACAGTTCATTACGTACACGTACAAGAGGACCACACAAATATATCCTAAAGCTTTAGGAGAGAAAAGTACTTTTCGATAAAACATTAAATTAAGACAAATTTTCAAGGTTGTATTTTAATGAATAGCTTACTGATAAACTCGTGAATGGAGATGGCCTTGCTATTTAATTTGTTTGAGTAAATATAATGGCGTATAAATAAGGTGGTGTAGTTAAATTTTCGTATCATTTTTTTGACTTGGGAACATGAAGTGGCATGGTAGATAGCCAGATATCCTCTGGTAGGAGAAATTTGGTGCACATTCGCTTGCATGGTTGAACCAGTTCAAGAGGTTTTTGAGTAAACAGCTAAATGCATAAGTGAGATATTGTTTGTTGCTGATAAGTACGAAGGGGTCTCTTGGAATAACACTTATGTTCTATGATGTTACTCAATATAATAGAGCAAAGGTCGGCGATTGCAGATACTTATGAGGCGTTTTACAATTGTCAGCTGGAGAGGTCGAACATAGTCGTCTTGGGTTCTTGTTCTACATTTTCCATTTGTCATTGTTTTAACTTGGCAGTCAATTTGATTCTGCGTCTTTTTCAAAACAACGAAGCGTCCAGCATTTGCTCCGACTAGCAAATGTAGCATACTGTTGATTACAACTGTGGACTATGGGTGGGCGGCCGATTCATTTAATCGTGTAACAAAATGCAGCAGACTAGTTTATCAGTGTGGCACACTGTTGATAACAACTTTAAACTGTGGGTGAGTTGGCGCATCATCTAATCGTTTAACAAAAAACAGCCGACTTCCGCTACTAGGTATGCATATAGGAAATCAACTGCATGTCCACGGAACTCTGAATCGAAGGAAGTACACCGGTATGGCAAAACTTATGTCTGCATATAATTTCGCCATTTCTTCAACATCACAATGAAATTCTGACACTATAATTCTTTCAAAATTGCATAAAACTTAACAAAACTGCACTTGCCTTTTTCAGTTATACTTTTCGCGGAATTTATGCCTACGCAATACATAACCTACCTGTCGAAGAACGGAAATTCATTTTAAAAACTGAGCTAATATCCTAAAATGAGATATATCGAGATATATGAATGGCTTGAGCTCCATTGGTTATAGCAGACAGTTCATGCTTAATTATCATCTAAAATTGAGAAATTTGGAAGGTTGGTGATTGTTTTATTAATTTTTACGCCTACTTAACGACACTTGGTGTTCGAGTTTTAGAAAACAAATTATGCACTAAAAGCTTTCAAATAACATTTTCAGATGTAGCTCTGTTGTGATTGGTGCAGCTGCTTTGATAGACAGCGGTCGTGTAGGATGCTATCTCGTTGGGTGTTTAGAAGCTTTGACAGGTTAAAAGGTGAAATGAAATTGTCGACTATTCGGCCTGCCATCGTTTGAAAAAGTCAGTTTAACACCTGCAATAGGTTTAGCCTTGATATTTTTTTTTTTGCCAACCAAACATTTCAAGTTCAACAGAAGTGAAGTGTATTTCTGTCAGTGGTTGTTGGAAATGTGTTTGGTAAGTAAGTAAGTACGACCTAATAAATTATGCTTTCAGTTTTGTCCTTGTCGAAGATATAACATCAGATAGCGAGCTTCCAATTGGTATGGGAAAAAACTCCCCGAGGCAAATGACTTTTACAGGAATGAAATTCATTACTTCTATCTGCTCAACTCCATCAATATGGCTCGCATATTTGAATTGCTTTATCTAAGTCGGTATAAACAAAATTTAAAACGAGGACATCTGGAGAAAAATCTCAAAAGGACTAGTTGTTTTATGTTAATTTTCTAAATTGACTCTGCCACATTTCACGGGGAGTTTTTTATTTTACGCGAACAAAATCAGGTCTTAATTGCACCAGCGTGAACACAGATATAGTATACATATATGTTTCCCATGTCAACCCTGATGTCACTGTTTTGTAATTTTAGATGGAAAGCGCATTTATCGGTTTTACTGGCTACGCAGTCAATATCGAAAATCGCAATCAGTGTAAAACTGAAACTAATTTGATTTCTCTCGGAAAGTGAAGTTTATTCATGCGACAAACGTTCATGTTTACTTTGCGCTCGCAAAATTGATAAACGATAAATTGGAAAAAGTGTTGCTATCATAAGATGTCGGTTTCTTTACGTTCTAAAGCTATCACAACAAAATATTAGAAAATTTGTAGATACTTTCTTTGACGTAGAATGAAACCGCACTTAGTCTGTAAATTGCGCGTTTGTCTTTATTTACTTTTCATCTGCATGCAAGCGGTAACTAAAGACCAGTGCAAACCTTTCTTATTCGTGGATAGTTTGGGCTGCGCGACACTATTTAGTGATTTATAAATAGGGTAGTAATTCTTTAATCTCGTGATGAAATTGAGAAATTGAGAAATTTGGAACCCAGTGAACAAGTAATTATATTTTGGGGCAAACGAGCTCGTTAAAAAACCAGATGGTTATCGTATATGGTAGTGATTTGTTCACTGTTTTGAACTTCCTCAACTGCGTGCGGAAACCTATCACTGAAACAATATCAATACACTGTCAAACAGACACAGTTCACGAGAGTATGGAAAATCATAAATTAGATCGACCTCTTTTGGTACTGCATCAAATTCTCAGAGCTGCATGAAGTGAAATTTCACAGTTACTGAGAAGAACTAGTAATTTTTGCTTGAGGGTGAAAATTTTGAAAACCAAACAGCTACAGACCCCATAGCTGATGGAAATAATTAACAACCTCTTCTACGTGATGTGTACTATTTTATTTTCGAGAATGCAAAGAAAAGCAAACAACTGGCAAAGGAAACAAATTATTCCTGACGCCTTACTTAAGGTGACGTCACTAGGTACAAAGCCAGCATTCCTGGTTTCTGGTTAAAGTGCTTAAGTGAATCAGATGGTCTGTGACATTAACTATTTACTCGCTACAATACCACATTTAAAGTTATTGTGACTGTTGTTGACAGTTGGCAGCGTTTTGACCGATTCGTACAGCTATTAAAGCGCCCTTAATGACCAAAAGAGCCTGCTTTCTTCCCAATCTCAAACCGAATTGACAGATTGAAGAGTGGTATTTACGTGCAGTCGCCGCTAAATTCAGACTGAATTTTTCCTGCGAAAACGTTGAAAGTCTTTTAAAGCTGACGCTTTTAGGTGAGTTGCGTTTTGATTCTGTTTTGGCGTAATATTTACTGACACAAGTTGGGGGTTTTGTAATATTAATCCAAAATTTCCAAATAAGAATCGCGCGGTCGAGTTGAGTAATAGGGAATATAATTTTAGTATTTGTGTAGTATTTCAGCGATTTATTTTAGATGAATTTAGTTTTAATTGTCTTGGCTTCATAGTCACTCAGATCAGTTGGGATTTTTATGATATTAATGCAAAATTTCCAAATGACCATCACTCGCTCGAATCGAGTACACGAACAGGAAGTGTCTTTTTTGTGGTTGTGAAGTATTTCAACTTTGTAGATGTCGAACAATACCAAATATATTTGAATTTTCGTTTTTCAGTCAGTATATCAAAATGCCACTCCCGTCAATAAAATTTTGCGCGATTTTTTTGTTGATTTTTCAAAGGAGAACGATACTTAGTTTGTTCCTAGCATATTGGCACATGAAGCCAAAACATTTTAATATAATCCGCCCGTAATTTTTAGATTTGATGGTCACTGCATAGCTTGTAAAAGTATTTTTTGAAAATTTAGGTCCTTATTCGTTCAAGTATATCACTTTTACTGACTGCCAATCAATAAAGAAACTACGTATCATAAATTAGTTTAAAAAAAGAAGATGATTTCAAATTGGTTTTCGTGCATGCGGAAATTGTATCTTATCTATGTAAATATCATTTATCTTCCTAATGGCTCACAAACGAAAATATATTAAATGTTAACAGCAGTTCTCCATTCGTCAATTTGTTTTCTTTGCCAAGGTTGAATGGCACTGTGTGAAATATAAAAGAACATTAATTTAGAATTTTAAGGGCCGTATTGTTCGCCTATATCCCTTGTACCGTTAAACTCCAGTCGATAAATGTAGTACGTATAATGATCACACAAAATTGAAAAGTTCATGAACCTTTCGAAATGGGTTTACGTGCAGAAATTATATTTTATTTATATAAATAGCATAAACAACATTTATCAAATTTACGCTCACGAATTAAACGATAATGGCTACTTTGCAATTAGAATTCGTCGGTTCTCTTTGCGTGCAAATGAGGGCTTTAAAACTGTCTGTGAAAGTTTTGGTTGCGACAGTATTTTTCTCATAGCTACACAGCAGAATATTACAAATGGCTTCACCAGAAAAGCGGTTGTTGTCTGGAAGGAAACAAATTCGATTGTTCAGGATCAACCTCTCCAAGACAAATATTAAAAAAACAATGATTAACTGGTTTATAAATGGAGCATTATATATTTAATTTTTTCACAAAACTGAGACATTTTGAATCAACCTAAAGCATAAGAAGTCGTGAAATAACCAGATGTTTATAGTTCATTCGTCCGTAACTCACGGCCTTTTGGGCGAAACTCAATCAACAGAGCCTGCCTCAAGGCTAATAACGCACTGAAATGCAACTGCGTTTCTTCGTTCAGTTTAAAATCATCTAATGAATGACTTGATTGACGACTAGATTCTCTTAACAAACATTGAAAAAAAAGATATCACAATGTGTAAGAGGAATTTATGTGTCGGGCTTGAAATTGACAGGCCTTAAATAAAGCTATTGACCCTTTAATTATTTGTGCAGATGAAAACAATCTCTTCCCCACGGTCTTTTTTTATCTATTTTGTTTTCAAGCAATTAGATAGAAAGTTCTGGGGAAAGCACAACTCCTGCATGAGGCGTTTAAGGGCACACGAGAGAAAAAATAAGTCACTAAAACATAACTCTAAGTGCATGGAGAATCCCAATTTCGAGATTTCTGTTGAACAGAGTTTGAATTTGGAAAAGGCATCATTTGCAGCGGAAGAGAGCTGTTTTAGTTGGGCTCTTAAGAAGATATTTGGCGGACGGATCAAGGGACGATGGGTTTTAATTAGACTGATGCTTTCCCCAAAGGCTCTCAGGATAACTTATTTTTCTTGGCCAGCAGCATCTTATATGTAGTTTTCGAACGGCAAACGGGAAAGTAGTGCCATTTACGCCGGAAGAAAGCTTCTCTTTCATTGGACGTTTGAGATGATTTGCGCGACAGATGAATCAGTGGATGATGATGGTTAATGATACTGCTTATTAAGGCTGATATTTTCCCAAAAAAGCTCGAAGGTTACCAATTGCAAGAAAACGAAGATTAAGTCAACATTCATTTTAATCCGTCAAGTTTTGACCATGATTTTTTCGCTCTCGAGAACAACTAAAGTCAAAAACAGTGACAGAAGAGAAACATAGATTAACTCAGAACGTTTAAATCGTGTGAAGATCAGTTACTGGTGAGTACTTTTACGCGAGTTGGGTGTTTGATTTCTGCTTGGCATCAACAAAGATTTGGGGGAAGTTACAGTGTTCTTGTAAATGCATAATGAACGTTCACTCATAGTAGTAAGCTACTCGCTTGGTGTTTGAAGCAACGCTTGACTTCTGAATAGGGTCGTAGTATTCTGGTGGTAAATCATGCAGAAAGCGTCCGTGCAGCCAGTTCCCTTACGTATCAGTAACCAACTATAAATAGAGTTGTTAGTGCATGTCTTATTACTTACAACAGGCGAGATGATGTGGGGAAAAACAAACGAACGAACGAAGCCCTTGCCTTGCCTTGCCAAATCTTCATATCATTTTTAATTTTAAATATAAAAGAACGATTAAATGGTTTGACCGTCAACTCGATATTAAACTGCTGACAGTCAGTTTTTCTCACGAAATCAGGCAGGGATTATGAGGTGAGACATGTCAGACTAGACACGTTTGGGACGAGAACCCCACGAGGGGTACGAGTGGATGGGGACTCAGTTATAACAAGTACAGTATCAATGTTTAGCTGCGTATTAAGATAACTGCTCCAGATTTTACTAACATCCCACAGGAAGCACTCTTAAACTCTTATCAACAATGTGTGCATACCAAGAGCGTTTTCTTTGATTGAGCGCTCATAAAAAGAAGAGCGTCACTGTTTTTTTTTTGGTTATTCACCTTGAATTCTCAGGGTTAAAAGAAAGCACTCTCAACACCAAAACATGCATCAAGAATTCCGAGTAGAGAGTGTGCATTTGATAAAATGTGTCAGGTTTTACTAAAAGCGTGCTTGAAGTGATGGTATTCAATAAAAAGTAGTACTCAAGTTTAGTGTTTGATGAATCTAGTTTTCACTGGTGCATCAACAGAAGCCGAAACCGACACACGCAGACCCAGAAAGATGCTGATATATAGCGCCTTTCGTTAAGAAAATGTTTTAACAAAAGACGCTACTTAACAATACCTCACAGCGTTTGCGTATGTTGCATATGCTTATGCTTGAGCGCTAGCAGGGAACCAGCCTTTAGTCTTGGAGGTTCTTATGTTATTGTCAGTTTGATTCAAGCTGTAGGTTTACAATTGTCGGCAAAGCGCATGCATTGCTCGCAGAAATTAGGAAACAAAAACATTTTGAGGGATAGTTTTGCCTGCTTTTAATCTTAATTTGATGAATCTTCCGTTGCTAAAAAATGATTTCAACAATTCCAAATTAAAGAAGCAAACACTGTACAGGAAGCAGCTGCCATTGGGTGACTTGATAAATACCGAAACGTTACCGAGGCAATACTCAATCAAAATCACAGGTTTGGGATAGACCGCGGCGAGTTTCTGAAAATTGATTCTATTAATCAACTAGTATTAATAAAGGCTCTTTTGCTGGCCATCAATCTCATTTTGATTCTCGTCATGACACCTTGAATAGACAAGCAGCTTTTTGTGTCAGTTTGACAAAAAGAAGAAAAATCGTCGAGAAAAACGAACAGCTCGCCGGCAAAATTTAAGCGAACTAACGGATTAGTAAACAAGATACTTTCAAAAGTAAAATTTATTTATATTTTACCATGAAAACATGTATAGATACTTCAGACTCGACGCCGTTTTGCTTCATTTTAAAAAAATGTTTATCAGGAAATAAAATAGCATCAATTTGGTTTGACTTTAACCGTGACAGTACGTTTTCCATTTCTGAATAAATGGTTTTAAAACTGTCAACTTAGTCTTCATAGAATTGTTTGTGAACTCACAACCGGCAAACCTAACGGGCCATCTTTTCAGCCTTAAAAATCATGATTTGAACAAGATTAGCCAAAAACGCTGTTTGGCGTTTATGATTTCTGGTGGGTTTTAGGTTTGTTAAACTTTTTCGGCATATCAGTTAGAATTTTCAGGTTGTTTCACGGCGAAACATTTCCCTAGTGAATCATCCAAGGAAGTTCCTTAAATAAATGCCGCAGGACGCGGGCTGTTTGCAACTGAGCTCTAGTGGAGACAAAAGTCTGGGCCATTGTTACCCACACAATATCGTCTCTTTTTTCCTATTTCAGTTGTCAGTTTTACATTCTATCGTTAGGTAATTACCACTTGTTATAACTTCCTTCCTCAATCTGTTAATCTTCGTTCGTAAAATCAAAACAGGCAAGGCTTTATTTTGTACAAAAGAAAACCAAATCGCAAATAAATTATGGATAGCACTAAACCAAAATAGAAACCCCCAAAGTATGGAATGTTTAAACTTTAGGACGCCTTTTCTTGAAATTTTGATAGTGAGAGACTTGATTAATTTACAATAGGCAAGCGACTTTCTGTGTCCGTTTGATAAATAGGGAGTGCACTGAGTAGCTAAAATAACGCAAACGGAAAATACAAACAAATCTTTTCATAAACCGTAAGATCCACCGAATGTTTATGTGACAAAACATCTTACGAAAAGAAAATTAAAATACGTTTACATTATTACAAGTAACATTCATAGAGATTTCGGGCTTAGTCTCGTACCTGCGCACTTGTGAATTTCATTATGTCAATATTACAATAGGTGGTTTTTTGAAACATTAGTTAATTTGAGAGAAGATGATTTATTTAAAGTTAACGTGATGATTTTAAACTGTCTCATTTTGTATTCTTAGACTTTAAATTACTTCAAAAGCGTCTGTGAACCTGAACATCGCTTCTTAGGTAACAACTGACGAACCAACTTAGCGATGCCCATTTCGTAGTCTTCTTAGTCTTCGATTAGCCTTAAAGACATGCAAAGATGATTTGGGGAGTTATTTAGTTTTTCTTTGTTACCTAGACGTCAGTAGAACGGGTTTTCAGTTTCTAAACTGGGCGAAAATGTTCCACTAGGAATTATTTTAGAATCTTCCCGGTGTGGGTTGTTTGGCTCTAATGGCGCCGGCAAGTCTAAGAACTTGTGACCTTGCACATTGACATCTTTTTTGCCATTTTCAGCTGTCAATTTTAACATTGGGTCGTTACACATAATTACGACTACGTATTGGACAGAATGCCTTGTATTGCATCCAGTTTTCTTTACAAACCAACCTTTTATTTAACTCCACAGAAGAGGAACTTAGAGGGAAAATCTCAACCACAAAATCGCTGTTGTGCAGTAAGTCATTCTTGTAGCTAAAATAGGGTGTTGCAATACTTACAGCTGGGTCACGCAGCTTTCGAACCAAAGTTCCTTTTGTCTTTTCTTAGATGGTCTGCGAGCGGGCTCTTCAAGAGGAAGGAAAGAACGAGAAGCCAGGAGAGGCTCCTTCCCTTTTCTTCCTTTTTTTGTGCGAAGGGCCGGCTATTTCTCAGAATACAATCAAAACTGAGATTAACACCAGAGAAGCTAAAGCGCTAGTAAATTTGTACTGGAATTGAAGTACTTGTAGATAATGAAAAAGCTATAATGCGGTAGGATTCGTGAGAAATTAAGTTATTTAATAATTACATTGGGCAAGAGACATGAGCGAACAGTCATCGACGCCGTAGCCGAGTTGGTTATTGGTGGCAGAAAATTAATTAAGGGATTAGTTTTATTGTTTTAGTAGAAAGCTCTGTGTTGTATGACTCAAAAATTGTATTACCTAATTTTCCAGCAAAAATGAAAAGAGATGCCTTGTTTATATCAACGCCACGCGTGTGCGAAACTGACTATCGGCGAATTATTTAACAATAGCAGAGCCAATCATATTTACGGACTCGCAATAGACTATGCACGCGAGATACGGGACTAGATAGATAGAAATATAAAGGTATCTTACGTGAAAGTAAAATTCATTGTATTACCACAAATAATATGCATGGAAGTATTTCAGAATCGGTCGCCCTTTGACGTGTTTGTGAAAATGATCACTGTTGCCAAGGATGCGAAACCTAATTCATCATTTTGCATCCACACTTTTTCTCGGCCTCTCTACTGGCCTTGCGACGATGCTTTACGTCTGGATAAAGGAGAACGAACCCACGATTAATCCAAGCAAACTTCAAACATTTGATTTGCACGAACATGTAAAGTATGAAACCGCTAACTCAATAATACACTTTGGGAGTAGGTTTTGCCATCACTAGAAGGAAAAAATGACTACAAATCGCGACAAACGTCCTTGTGCATCTTAATCCGACAGACCAAATGAAAATGTGTTGGCGAAATGTTTCCACGCAAGAGACTGCTCTTAGTGCTCATCCTGTCTTATTTAATACCAATAATTGTTGAATCCTAGCTGATTGATAAAGACTAGTAACTTCCCCCCCTCCTATAAAGTTGCACACTAGCAGTTATTACTGCTTTCCAATATATACACTACATTGAAAGGGAGAAGGAAAGAAACATATAGATTTAGATCTTATTGATTTGTTTATGTGTTAGGTCTTACTCGTTGAAAACGTTAATAAATGTCCAAGACGGCTTTTGTTTTGAAATGTGGGTCAGATCTGATAGTGAGAAAACGGTAATTGATCTCTGGATATCAAAAAGGACATGTGAATCTCTCAGACTTTAAATCTTATCTAGACCAGCAATGATGTTACACGTTTTGGTTTGCGAAGTAAACTAGAAGCTCTTTGGTGCATCGGCAAAATGTCGGCACTATGATTTCATGAAACCAGTTACAGGTTAATGTTTTATGACTGGAAAAAATTCTGGCCTTAATTCCAGCTGCAGTTTTTGGTTTTGGTTTTTAGCAATAACGGTAATCTTTTTGCAACTTCTGACTGAAGGGCAGGCACGCGGAAAATTGATAAAAATGATGTACTGGGAGGATTCCTAACGGTTGGATTCAAGGATAGGGTCTCTTTCTCAGTTGAAACTCCCGGTAACTTTATCGCCCCAGAGCCATATCTTAAGATGTAAACTAAGGCCGGAATAGTAGTGTGGATTTTAGATCAAAAGTCAGTCCATTCTCTCTCGTTTCCTGACATTTTTATTGTTGTTTGAATTTCAAAACCATTGAAGTTTTCCTTTCTTGAATGTAAAGACGGCAAACAAAAAAACAACTTTTCGGGACCGCTAACTACCGCAACTTTCGAAATGGGGTCCAAGTCCCACGCAAGTTGTGCTTCTCGCATATGTATAAAGTTCTGTTTAGTGCCTATCCTATACAAATTTACTAAAAAAAAAAAAAAATGCTAAGTTAATAGCGCTAAGTATTAAGGGTGACTTTCTATAAATATTTTGGATAGGTGCGCAGAATGAAAAAATCGAATTTCCCCAAACTTTGTCCCAAGAAAGCCCTCCTCCAAGGATCTCCTCTGTCACAAGCTTAATCTGAGATTTTCACTTCATTCCCGTGATCAAGCCCTTCTATCCGTGCCAAGAGTGAAATGCACCCACTTTGTTTTCGCGCCTTTTCTGGTTCGGGTGCATTTTTATGGAACAATTTGCCCTTGGCCGTACGATCAAGCTCGTCTTTGCACATTTTTAAAAAAACGATTGAAAACATCTTTTTAAAATCCCTTATGACTGTTTATAATTTTTGTAAATCTTAGTTACACAAGCCGTTTTATATTTTTGTCTTTTTAGCACATTTTATGCTTTTTATAGATCTTTGTTTTCTTTTGTTAGCTTCTTTTTATATGTAAAGCGCTTTTGAATATTTCATAGTATTAGCGCTATATAGATGTATAATTATTATTATTATTATTAAAGCCCTCTGGAAACTATTTAAGAAAAGACAACTTTTAGTTCTTGTGGATTTAAGTTTTCCAACTAAAGCGATTTTCTAATTTTCACCCTTGGAGAATCCCTCGAACCACTGAAAAATGTGCTTCGTATTTGCGACGTGTGTAAAAAAACGAACACAAATGCCAAAAGTGTTTCGACATTACACAATTTAATGACCCTACCTTTGCAAAGTTCCGTGATTAGAATCTGAAAAGATTCAAACCTGAAGTTTGAAAAAATATACCCACGTAAACAGCATTATCAGAGCTCGATTTTGGCAAATTTGAACGGCAAATATCCCTACCTGGTACATGGATTCCGTTGTAGAGTTCCAAAGAAAAAGTAAGGCTTATAAACAAGTTGGAACTCCTTTTTAGGGTAAAAAAATATTACTTTCGATGAAATTGCTGAGAGAAGATGAAGAATAACTATAAATCATTAAAATGGGGGAAAGGGTCGCATTCAGGCTAAAATTTCAGCTGCTGTTTAGGTTATCTCTTGTATTCATGAAGACAAATGTAAGTTCAAAGGTCATAAACTTCAAGCGAGTACTGTAAATATTTTCGATCGGCTAAACTCGCAGTTTGAATTGCCCCAGAATTTTATTTCACAGAAGAATAGAGAGAGCCTTATTCTTTCTTTGGAATACCATCTTCACAACGGAATCCATGTACCAGGATTTTTGCCGTGGAAATTTGGCAAAATCGAACTTTCTGATAATGCTGTTTACGAGGGTAAATTTATTCAGGTTTGAATCTTTTCAAATTCTAATAACGGTACTTTGCAAAAGTAGGGTCATTAGATTTCCTCCACAAGTAGCAAATACGAAGCACATTTTTCAGTGGGTCAGGGATGGGAATTGAAAAATGGCTTAGTTGCAAAATATAAATCCACACGAACTAAAAGTTGTATTTTCTTAAATAGTTTCCAGAGGGCTTTCTTGTGACAAAGTTTGGAGGAATTCGATTTTTCCATTGTGCACACCTATCCGTAGTATTTATAGAAAGTCACTCTTAGGTTTTATGGTTCAGAATTGACTGCTGAGTTTTACAATGAGATGTGTTTGGGTTTGCTTCCAAATGTGGAGCAAAATGAGGAGTGTATTTAGCATATGTTTATTCTTGCTAAGTTGTAAGCTATATTGCCGGAGATCTCAGTTTAATGGGCCCCTTGGGGTTAAGTTCGAGAAGACGGCTGGCACTTCAGACCGGGTAAATTTTAGTATGAGTGAAGCGTTCCCGAAAGTGCGAGTATTCGTGGGGTTTTAAAATTGTAGTTTCCGCTATATGTTGCATGTTAGCATTGAAAACTGCTAAAGTACCAAAGCTTCGAACGAAGTTTATGAAGTTCTTTTCCAAGGCTCGGTAGGTAACATTGTAGCCGATAGGGTGTCTTAGTAAAAGGATTCCCTGTCCGCTTTAGTTCATTTGTAAACCAAAGGATTTACAGAAAGCCTCGGTAACTTTCCATACGATAAAAGCAGTTGAGTTGCCACGAGCAACTTTCAGTTTGGAATACTAATTAAGTGCCGACTTACTTTTAAACTACCGGTACAATTAATTTTGGGAAGAACAATAACTGAAAACACATTTGGTTTTGAATTTGTGTTTCAATAATTGCGTTTTCTCAAAGGTGCTAGCAACACGTTTTTATTCACAATTCGGGAAATGAGGGTTCGTCTTCGAAATATTATAGACCTTATATCTGGCAAAATGATAAATAAGCTATCAGTGCTTTTCTGTAGGCTTTCCTAATTTTTCCCCTCTGGTCAACCAGCGTGTAAAGCTTGGACAGTCTATAAATGGAAAAAATTCATGTATTTAACATAAGGCTTCGCAGTCACAAAGTCTATTTCTCAACTGCATGTTATTTTCTCCGTTCTCGATCTTTCACCAGCAATTTCAACGTTTTTGCCGAGAGTTTGATAGTGGCTTTAAAACGTTTCTGTATCGTAAATTCGATTTGGTCCTAGCAACAATTAGATTTCCTTGGACTCAGTTTAACTTCCTCAAAATCTCGTGTTAAAATTGGTTTTGCAAGTCAAGCTCGTATCGTTTTGTTTTCCGGTTGATCAGCTTATTATCCCTTGAGGCTTCTGTTGATCAGCATCATTGTCCTACTTGTGCTTCGAGTTCTTCGCGGCACATGGACTTCACCGCTCTCTTCTCTCCGAGTTGAAGCCTTCGGCCGACTTTCCGGTGCGAAAGATTCGCGCCATTTCTGAAACCCGCAAATCAAGTCAAAGGCGAGAACAAGATATAGTAAACAGACCAGCGCCAGAGCAACATCCATAGGGACTGCTGGTTCTTCGTGCGTTCGGCTTGTTCCGCGTTCAGTGCGACCTCTTCAGAATGTCAAATCAATTTGTGTTTTTTTTTGTCTTGCAATAACTTCGCTTCGCGTCAAGACGCTGGTGTCGCACTTATTTACCAGTATGCTGATGCCACTCGTATGTATCTTTACCGCTCTGTAAGTGTTAGATAAAAAATGTCAGGTTCGTCAATGCGAGGTAATTATGTTCCTCCTTCGGTTTTGTAAACAGAATCAGAATTTAAATGCACCGAACAAATTTCGCGTCAACACACGTTCATTTCCTGTCGTAATCCCATGACTAGGAAATGGTTTGCCGGGATAATCTTGCCTAATGCACTTCATAGGCAAGTCTCTAAGCCATAAATTAAAGTTCCTGTTTGAGAGACAAAGAAAATATTTCCTTGTATTGTCTATTCTTGAGGAAAGTATAATGAGAATTAAAAATTAAATTCTTTGCGGAAGTCGGCGGCTGTACTGATCTCAGTTGGCCTTGATGCAGCTGGTCAATCCAGTTTCAGAAGCTATTTATCTATGCTGGAAAACAACTTTTTACATTAGCGCGTATTCTTTTACCTGAATAAAACTGACACTAATTTGAAACCAATTTGCAAACGCGAAGAAAACCCGCGTGAGGCAGGTCTCAAAATTTAATTAAGTATTTTCGAATTGTGAATTTACTTTTGACTACTTTCTTGCTAAATATATTTGTTGGGCAACAACTTCATGATACGCGTGTTGTCTGCAATTTTATTGAGTTATACAAAGCACACACCTCTTAACTGTTAGAGTGATCAGAATTTTTTAGAACAGGTTTTTTCTTCAAATATTCGCATTCCCAAGACTCTTTCCCAGATGAATAAAAAAAGCCAAACTGTCATGTTTTTTTCACTAGTGATTTCAAGTCCAAATTTGAGATTAACCGCAGCCAAATATAAATTAAAAACACCCTGGAAAGGAATCATTGTTGATAACTCATAAAACTGTATTCAAAATTAACTTTTGTTAAGCCGGGATCAGATTCAGTTAATCCTGCTGTTAAAAACCGCACCTATCACGGATAGTAGTTTTAGCCAATAGGTAACGAGGAGTAAGATCAGTCCATTTGCCGGTTACATATTTGTTGATAGAGATTTGCTTTTACTGTTGAAAACTGAATTGTAAAATCGTACTGCGGCGGTAGACGTTTTTTAAAAAGAAGTTGTTAAAGTAATGGGATCCGTGTTGTGACCAATAATTACAGCGCTTCCGTTAATGGTAAAATTTACCTTTCGGTGTTTGACGGTTGCTAAATTTAAGCCAGTTTAACTCTTGTGGTCATTAACTGATCAAGCGCAAAATTCAGACATTTGGCTAAGCAAGAGCGAGCATGGCAGGATGAAGATGTCGGGTGTCGAGGTTTGTGGCAGTAAAAGGTGAAATGTTTGAGAGGCTGCTGAGAAAATATACTAGGAAGAATTGTTTCACAAGCTCATTACTCGAGGTAAATTCCGAAACGTTGACGTGATACAGTCTTTAAGACGTTATTATCAATTTCCAGAAGTAAACAAATCATTACAGGAATCAGTAATACACCACAGCGGTAAGATTTATATATATATGTTTTCAATTTTCATCTTTCTTACTACTTAGAATATTGTCGTTGCATTCTCATAAAATCTCTTAAGCTGTGTTCACACTAGACCGAAACATGATTAGTCTGATCACGAATGAAGCATGTTTCGTTATGAAAAGTGTTCACATCAAGACAGTACATTGCGCGAATCATGGTTGAAACATGATTATTCTGAGCATGATTAAGACAACCTCGCGAGGTAGTTTCAATCATGATCAGACCAAACACGTTCAAAATGGCGGATGGATGCGCAGAGGAGGCCAGTGCCCAAAAGAACCAAAATTGGGGGTATTATGAGGCCAAATGTCTAGTTGAAATGTGGGCCGATGAAGAAATACAACGGCAATTATCGGCGATGGGTAGAAACTGAAGCAGAATATTTAGGAGAACATTGCCGGAAAATTTAATGAAGTGTAAAAAATTTATGCGAATACCATGAAACAGCACAAATCATACAACCATGCATGAAACGTATTGGAAACCGACATCTGATGTGAACAATGCAATAACAAACATGTTTAGGCGAAACATGTTTAGGCGAAACATGTTTCCTTAAAACATGTTTACTCTAATCATGTTTCGGCTTTAATGTGAACACAGCTTTAGACTGTTTCGACGTGATATTAAACACTCCCAGCGTGTGGTTTGGGAGACCTGTGGTCCCAATGATTGGGACCACAGGTATCCCAATAAAGATAAGACTGCTTTTTACAGCGAGTGTTTTATTCAAGTATTTTCAGTGATAACCCCGTGATTAATAACGTCATAACCGTTCATTGTGAAAAGTATTGTACGCATTTTATGTAAACATTTACATCGTGTAGAATTGTACATGCTGTTATTCTACACAATATAAGTAAAACAAGTCGTTTGTCACGAGAAATCACTGCAGGTCAATGTTCCGGGGAAGCAAGAAAGTATACTCTTCTGGGTAGGTTCATATTATGATTTTACACCGCTAATGAAAAAGAACGACAGTGTAGTTTCAAATTATCCACAGCAACTCAGAATAATTGAAAATTGAAAGCATCAACCCCAAAAAGATAAGGTGTGTTCAGTTTTAAAGGGAGACGTTAGTGGTGATTATGAATTCAAAGCTTGCCTGTGATTCACTCGCCAAAAAATTTCAGTCAGATTAGAAAATGTTGTAAGTTGGCAACCACTTACCCTTTGTTCACAAGTGAGCTTGAAAACCCACAAATATTGGTCGCTTTCTTTAATCTTTCTCAGCTTACTACCTGGGTTTACACTGTGCTTAAATCTTTTGACGAAAGGAACCCGTTGCTAAGCAATTTCGTCTTATTGCTCGGTGTTAGTGAAACTTGATATAAATTGGTTCTTGAATCTCACATCGGTGAAATGGGATAACTCTTATTCATTCGCCTCTTATCTTGGAACGTGCATTATTTTGGTCATTGTTTTTCGAGAGCAATAATCGTAAATCATTTTGCATGCACTTTCTGAACCAATAGAAACAAATGATATGATGCTATCAATACTGAAGCAGTCTTCTGAAAACCATAACGCCAGCGCGTTAATAGTTTGTGAAAGTAGATGACCAGTGAAAAGTCCTCGATAACAAATCATTTTTTAAGGCATGTTTCCATGTGACTGATATGATCCCTACGATCACTATACGATCGCTGCAGATGAAGTTGAGCGATCCTTACGACTACCGGTTTCCATAATATTACGATCGCTTGCTACTATCGCTACGATCGTCGAACGAGAACAAGGGTCTATCTTGGCGATCGTTGTCGCAACGGTCGCTACGACCTCTCACTGGAGGGTGGTTTCCGTATTATCGCGACAATTAATGAACTTTTTTGACAGTTAACGTAGCGACCGTTTGAAAGAAAAGCAACGTTATGGGAAGAAGTAAGGTAGAATCTAGGAAAGAGCCGTAGAAAGAGTATTAGCTGTGTTATTTATGTTAATAGAGACCACAACTATTGTAAAGTTTGTCGATTTAGATACAAGCAGGATCACCTCCCCCGGTTGAGTGCCAATTTGCACAAACTGTGAGTAATCAGTTGGGTTGGGCGAGTAAGTGGCAAGAAATCTAACTTGGTGACAGCTCCAGGTGTTCTGTTAATTAGCTGTTTTACTTTGCTGACCCAAAATGCGGCATTTCGGTGGTTATGCGAAGAATACCGCTCAACATATAGCGAAAAGATGTTTTCAGGTGTTTCTTCGTTGGTTAACCATGCAATAATTCTGGGCCCAAACCTTGCGTGAAAGTAGATTACTAAGATAAGACACAACGTCTTGCTGAGAATATGGTACTAATTTATAGAGTTATATAAAGTGTGTACGCGACAAGCTGATGTTGGAATGACTGCAAAACAAGCGGTAAGGTAAACCTTGACTGTAAGGATTTCAAAATGTTGAGAGCTTATTCCATTAACGCGATGTGATCTGATATCTTAGTGTTGTTTTGAATTTTGAAGCGTCCAATTTGAAAAAGAGTCCAACAAAGAAATGCATTTCTCTGGCCAAAAAATCAATTCATTGCTTTGTGTGAATTAGAAGTTATGAAGTGTTTACGTAAAGGATCGATGGATAATTTAACTTCACTCCCTTTGAATTGTTTCAACCTGCGTGAATTTTGAATTTATTTATGTTTTGTCCGATAGAACGATTATTAGAGTAACAGTAGGTGGCTTTTAAGTGTTTCAATCTCAAAAATTCAATTTTGCAATCTGTCTGGATCGGAATCCTCCAGTTGCTGCTTTGCTCGAGCTTAGCGACGCGAATCTCTGCCCGTTGTTTACCAATTTGTAGAAGCATCCTATCCCGAGGTCAACGGTTCTTTATTTCTTCCTATCTTCGCATTGCCAAAATGTGCCTTATTGTTTTTTTGCCATAGGATTGTTAGCTCAATCTACAAATTCCATACAGGAGCAAACTGTAACGCTATTGGAAATTGCATCTGATGAATCGAGCTGTCGACCGTTTTTTACAGTTATTTCAAAGTTTAAGAAGTACACAGTCGTCTTGGAAGGTAAGTAAGCTGGTATCGTTGAAACATGATGAAAAATCCACATCTTTCATTCAAACGGTAATGTGGGCCTTTCCGTTAGAATAAATTAGTATTACCAAATAACAGGTGTAATACAGCAGGATAAGGATTTTGTTGAATTTCACAGCACCTTTAGCAAAGGCGATTTCAAGTTTCCCTTTGATGCATCGTTTTTTAGTGAGCAAGAATATAGTCATTTTTTGTGGAAATTAAACCTGATTTCTTTTATCGGTAATCATAACTTATGATAAATCCTCGATGCAACGCAGTGGGTATTTTATTATCATCTAAACTTGCTTGTAATATTTCCATAAATCGACAAAGGAATGATGGATGATAGCGTAGATATTTTTTGTCTTCTTTTTTCTTTCGAAAATCATCCCGCGACTTAATCCTAAAAGATCCTAAAGTGATATTCTTCCTCTGCGTTTCAAATCAATGAGGCAGCCAACGCGCGAGATGCATTTTATTTCGCTATAGTTACAGGCGAGTCATGCACTCGTACCATCATATAAATCCCGGTTGGGTTTCTTCATGCCATTATTTTTGTCTTTGATCCAAAGTTCTTTCAATTATACCGCGAAAAACATCAGTAGGAAAGCAATGCCGTGGTGTCTTATAGTTACCTTTACAAAATTCTTCTATTCCTTATCAATTAAAAACCGAATAATTTCTACCGCTGTTGCACGCTTTTAAGAACACTTCGGGTCTGACCGCATATTTGCACTTTGAATAAATCCACTCGCCAGTGACGGGCAGAACTATCAGAACATGGAATCGGACAAAATGATTTAGAATTTTACCTCAATAACGATTCTAAATCGATATTTTTATCAGCATCCTTTTCTTACTCCTCGGTTCTTTTTTAATGCCACAAATGAAACATTGTTACTGTTACATTAATTTCACAGTAGCTGGTTTTAAAGCGAATTAGGTCGGTCTCCGCAATTTTTAATAGCTCCAGGGCTTGGGTGAATCATTAGCGAATAAAAATTACATTGACCGATTCGATAAAATATTTATCCCTTTGTAAGTGCTTGTAACGTTCTTAATTTTGTAGGTTAGCGAGTAAATCGATTTATTCCAACTAAATCCAAGGTATGAAAAAAATAGAGAAGAGAACGGAACCGAAAACGAAAATAAACAATCAATAAAAGTGATAAAATAACTCTGCTTCGTATTCAGTCAGCTGACCCCTTTTTGGCGCTGAATATTTTTTTGGATGTAGACATTTTAAAACCTTTGGTGATGTATCAATATCCTTTGTCTCGATCAAAGTATAATCAATTTAAGTTTCGCAGAGAGCGATATTTACATTTTCATTTGACACCTGCTGAGTTTATTTTCCATTTGACCGGCCTTACCTCAAGAGTGGATTGTGATGGAAGACCTTTCTACTCGCCGCTGTTGCCCAGCTTCTGAAGAATGCCCGACCTGATCAAAGAGCTAAACCGCAGATACACACTTTGAGTAAAATATACATACTTCTTTATTCAACCTTGTGCTTACGAACTGCTTGTATTTAAAATTGATATTTTCATCGCTGTTTGCTGTTATTTCTCGGCTTATGCTTCTTTTTCAGTGATGTTGTGAGACATTTTTTAGTAACAAACAGAAGTGTCGCGGAGTCCTTGTGCAGCTTTAGCGACTTTAAAAGCCTTTTAACTAAGAAATAAGATCATATGAAATTTCCACCGTTCATTTCCGTAGCTAACCCTCAATCCTTCTTAAGTCAGGCTGAGCTGTTACCTGACTATTGGTTACAACTCGCTTCAACCAATTCTGAAATTGTCGTTACTCCATTAGTAGATTGAAAGGACGATATATTGTTCTTCATGAAGACACCTCTGTCCTTTTGTCGTAGGCGGACCGCGTGGAACTGTAACTGAATGTACCGTCCCCAGGGGGACTCCCATATAAAGTATATAAACAAGACGGGGATGCTTGTTGGAAATTTCAGTTTGAAAACAACTCCAAAAAAGTACCAAGATCCTGTTTTGTGGGCGTGGCTTGAATGTTTTTCACCCCTTAGAGGTACCAATTCTAAGCAACAATTAATCTGCTCTCACATTTTTTCGGCCCAATACCCTAAAAGGTACCGCCAAAGCTCCCGCTGTGTTCCTTTTGAGGCTGAACACCCTAAGAGGCACCAAACCGCTTTTTTAACCCCTAAAAGGACGACGAGCACCCTGCCCTTTTTATATAGGAGCGTGGTAAGCGATTTTCGACGCTCAGTTTCTAAGGAACTGTTCCGTTCCGCTGCGTTGGCGGACTAAGTGAAACACTGGCCGTCATGGTTACTTGGTAAAGTCCCCTTGAAGTTCCAGTGTGTGACCATGTGGAGGATGTAATCAACGAATTTTTCTTTTTTTCAGTAACTCTAAAATCTCATGAATTGTTTATTACTGCTTCCTGTTTTATATTTTCACCGAAATTCTAAGCAATTAATTTAGCTGCGACGTCTCAACTTCTTTATCCTCGCGATAATACGCTTTTGATCCAATTTTACAATCACAATTAACCAAAGGAATTGTTATTCAGTTGCAATCAGATTATCCTTCTCGTTTTGTTTGATATTCGTTATCCAGGGTCCGACAAAGACAGGCCTCCTGGCCTTAAAGGTCAGCACGATAGACTAGTATAGATCGAACGGTTCAGTTCGATATGTTGTGGGCCATTTTGTTGTGTGTTGGGTTCGATCTCTCACAGTGCCCCTCTTCACCCAGGAGTATTAATAAGCGCTGGCATATTATGGAACAACATGACAATATGCTGAGGGAGGGAAAGAGGAAGGGAGGAAGGGTGGACGTAACCTGCTTGCAACTAGCCTTCCGTCAAGGGAAGTAGCAATTTTCACCGGAGATAAGCTCCGACTCTGTGGGCCGCTTTGACCCAAGTACAACACGTTTGAATAATCAGAGCATAATTAAGACTTCCTATACTTTTCGCTTACCTACAGAATTTCAGTTTCTCAGCTTGTAAATCTTCTAGCACTAGGGGGCAGGATCTAAAGGTTGATCTAACGACTTCTTGCCTACAATCCTCAATCTTTTGATGAAAGGAAAAAGGTCCAAATGGTGTGGAGTAGCTGCGCTCGGTGGTCTTTGTAGCCAATCCGATGATTCTTGGTAATGACGAAAAACTGTCTAAGTATACAGTAAGATCTGTAGGAGAAATGGAAATCCTATACTGTGGCTATCGGGGAACTGAAGGAGGGGGACCACGAGGAAAACTGGGAGATGAAATACGCTTTGTGTCTGTGTAGGAAGTTTATTTCTGCTGAGCATTCAAAATAATCTTGTTGGTGGCGTGCTTGAAATATTTCAGTCGCTTGTGAACTTATTCTGTCGCTACTCTGCTTTTTTTCATGGTATGTTTTTCAAATGTCTTCACCTCTTCTGAAAACGAGGGAAAAACGTCTGTTAGATTATTAATAACCTTACGATGGTCTGTGTAGCTAAGTCAGTTAAATTCCGAATATCATATAAATGTCCATTAAGTCTAGATAAATCTTCGATTGAAGCGGTCTTATAATACAACGTGAAAGTTCGTTCCAGGTTGATTTTTTTAAGAACAGTCGAACCTATCCTTGCATACTCCTCCAGAATACGACCCTCCTAATATACTTTGTCCCAGAGAAACCAGAGAGCACATTGCCTCTAGCTTCATAATACGGACATCTACATAGTGAGGACACTAACAGACATAGTTTCCATATCAAAGAAACTCGACTGTATTTCCCGAACAGATACGTACATTTATTAAACGTCTATGTACATTTAATTTCCACCTAGATGTAAGGAATAACGCTGAAAAAAGAGGAGAATGGTTGTTATACGTAACATGATCCGTCAACAATAAAAAAAAAGGTAACCTCATTTTGGAGATTGTTTCTGTCTGTTTCTTTAGATTATGAGATTTTTTGGGGAAGTTTGTGTGATCCTAGCATATGCCCGACATTCCGGATCCTGCAATTAACTTATATTCCGCTTAAGTTTGCTAATCGAGGAGTCTTCATTACAACCTCTAGATTTGTTCTAAACTTATATAGAAGGTTACTCTTTCATCAGTGTCAACTGTTATGTACCACTCTCTCTAAATGAATTGCTCATTCCTTCACTCTCTCTAAATGAATTGTGTATTCCTAAAGTATTGCTGCTTCTACGTCTTTCATCAAGGAAGATTACCCCGGACGAGAGCAGGAGAGCAGATAATACTTGTTAAAACATTCAAGGAATCGCCACCCCTATAGTATGATTTTTATTTTAGTTCTGATGTTCTGCAAAGTTCATTTGTCATACCCGTCGCTAATGTCATCAATTGTCTTGACCTTGGTATTACTGCCGTGAATAAGAAAGATATTTAAGAAGAAAGTGAAATGATCATCGCAGTAAATTTTCCAATTTAAGCAACTGGAAAGAAGAAGCCTGAAAAAAAAAAAAAA